CAAGACCTTGTTGATTAGTTTACACTCCTTACTGAACATTATACACCGAACCGCTCAATATTACTCACCATAGTGTACCTCTTAACACACAGGAGATAGGACGCCGAACTTGTGTTCCAAGACAATTATCCTTTTACTATCTTCCACCTTCAGTGGCCACGTCCTTTGATCGATAGCCAGTTATCACATCTACACCAATCCACAGGTCAACTTGTATATAATAGTAAGTGACAAAACAGATGAACTCACATGTCAGGAGAATTAATGTATTAGTCACGGAACTTAGTTAAGCAGAGCAGATTACATAAGACTAATTAACGAAGTTTCACAATTTATTCATTCTTCATCCTAATAACTGTACAGCTTCGAAGTGAAACTTATTATATTATTATTGTTTCCTTTAGTTCCTGGTCTTGCATTTCCGATCCTCGCTGCTTTGATATCCTTATTAGTTCCGTCCGCCTGTAGTTGAAACGATGCTTCCCAGGTAGGTAGGTAGATAAAGGAGGTTGCTACTTCCAGATTTCTCCCATTTATTCTAACTGTTCTCTGTCGTTGTTGCCGTTGCTGTTAGCCAGGAATCTTCATCACCTTTGTTTTCTCTATGTTCGCATGAAGTCCTATCTTCTCTGGATGATTCTTCTATCGCCAACTTGTTGCTTTTCCCTTACATATCTTCCAGTTTGTAGTAAATCAGAAATATATCATCAGCGAAGTCCAGATCCCCCATGCCTTTTTGTATAGGTCCATTTTATGCCTGTCTCTTCGTTGCCCTGCCCGTTGTCTGTCGCATTATCCAGTCTACTGCAATCGGGAAAATCATTGGAGATAGGAAGTGAAACTTAGGAAAGATTTTCAGCGGATTTGAGTTTATTAATTACTTGTTTGGTATTGGCTCTCAGTGGATTCCAAAATGCGCACCTCGCGAAACCTACAACTCGTGTCAACTAGACATATCTGCCACTCTCAGTTTGTGATATTGTTCTCACTTAGACTCGAACTCATTACTATATAATGTTTTATCACAAGTGTGGATACATTATTTCAATAGATTTTTCCCGTTCCTTTGCGTTCCATGTAGTAACTACGACTTTGGACTTGAGGTGTGAAGCTTTATCAGTGGCTGCCTTCCATTTTACGAGGTAGAGCTACAAACCCAACTTTCCCTCTTTACTGGGCTTTGCTTCAAATCTACAAAAAATAGCTATTTTAAACTAAACTACTTATGAGTAGTATAAAATGTCAGATTAAATTTTAGAAGAATGCTAAAATGTAACGACTCAGAGCGTGGAGTTGGAGTGGATGAAATACAAAATTTTGAAAGATTACTATATAAGTGAAGTGGTATTATGACTTTAGGAGTTGATCAAGTGTTTTTAAGAAATTTAAAGCGCGATGATGAGGACAATAAAAAAGGCAAAGATGAAGTAAAATGAATTCAACCGGTAAAATAGAATAAAAAGTGAGATAGGATTGCTAGCTGCCTCATACCCAACCTTCCCTCTTTTAGCCAGTCTTGTTTTACTGGCTTAGCGAGGAAAAGAAGTGCGTCAGTGGCCGGGGATCAAACTCCGGACCATATCAGGCATGGTTGGCGAGCATTCTAGTAATGTGCCGCTGACGCACCAAAAAGAATATTACTACAACCGAAGTAATGTAAAGGATGCAACATAACGTTTTTAATAAGCACTTATGGATAAGGTGAACATTCCACTTTACATAAAAAAATTGGAGGATACATGAACTCTCAAAGTGATTAATTCGGGCGTATAGATAACTTTAAAGGATAAATCGCATACATACTACAAAAAACTTTATTACATTATTTATGCAAAAGTTAGTGAAATTACGAGACACCAATCAAAAATAAGTGCGTCGGTGGCATAGCGGTTAGGATGCTCGCCGACCATGCACATGGTCCGGGGTTTGATACCCGGCCGACGCACTCCTTTACCTCGTTAAGCCGGAAATAAAGCTGGTAAAGAGGAAAAGGTTGGGCATAGGGCTAGCAACCCCGTCCTGTAAAAATAAACACTGCTACAGAAACTTCAAGCCTCTAGCTTGAAGCCATATGTTCCACTGGAAACGTGAAGGAATAAAAAAAGTCAAAAATAAGGTACTGGTCGCCAGAAAAGGCAGCGAGAAGAGGAATTCCAGTGAATATTGGAGAATACGGAGGTGATGGAAATATTCAATCAAGGAGAAGGAGAAGCACAAATCACCATCAACGGGAGGAATTTTAAAGCAGTCACCTCTTTCTTTCACATAAGTGGGAAACACCATCTCAACTACAGGCAGCACAAATGAAGATTTCGAAGATACCCAAGATAGGGGAAACGCAAGAAAGGCGTTTATTTCTTTGAGATCAGTACAGAGACTCATAGGACTTAGCACAAACAAAAAGACTCAAATTTTCAACACTAATGTCTAGTTAGCGATTCTATGTGTTTCAGAAACTTAGCGAATGAGTCTTGGGGGGGGGGAGCATTTTCTATAGGCTAGTGAAGATTTTCATCAACACTTTTCATCACCCACTTGCCTTCATACTAAAGATCAGATATTCAGCCATCCGACTAGCCAGGAAGAATAATCAACCAAGAACTCTGGTGGTGAAACAGTCAACAGGTAAATTAGGCATACACTGAGGAGACTGTTTTGCTGACATCAAATGCCAGGCAGAGACTCTCAAGTAGAGCCCGAATCAGCGAACGACGAGTTGAGTGTGTGTCCGACTGTGACAAAGAGAAGGAAATGAAAGCCTACAGATGATCATGGAGAGCCAGCCAGATAAAAAAAAACTGCAGAGGGTAGGCTAAATTATTGGTGTGCTCGTAGAGCCCTCCTTTGTTCCAAATGGGAATTCGAGTGACACTATAAACTACGCATGTACTGATTACAAGCAAATATTAAATAAAACTTATTGCGTTTGAGATTAATTCACAGAAAGAGGAGACAAAATTGAAATAATAATAATAATGATAACAATAGTAGTATTAGTAGTAAACAGAATGTTAAAAAGGTATAAACGAAATCCATTCATATTCAAGTATTGGTTTGTAGGGATTTGGTTGATTGGTTACAGGATTTCATCATGAGCTGACATCAGTTAGAGAACCACTGGAAAATCTGGTAGTACTGGACAGCTGTTTCGTTCTAGTTTGGGACTATTCACCAGTACGCACCCATCGGGGTTAGAACCCAGGGCCTTCTGGTTACAAGGCGAGCTCATGGGCCGTTGGATCGGGTCCCAGTGGCTGAATGGGTTCGAACCCCGGTGAGTGCGTACTGTGAAGAGTCCCAAACTAGGACGAAATAGCTGTTCAGTACTCACAGGTTTTCCAATGGTTCTCAAACCAAAGTCAGCTCATGATGAAATCCTGTAAAAAAATCCATTCATATAGCCCTATTCTATCTCATCTAGTGGATAGAGAACACAAGATTGATGTTAACGAGGCGGCTTTCAAAGTCATCTACCGCATACCAACCAACTAATCTTAACTTCACCTTAAGAGTTCGTCTACTACACATATTAATGAAGCTGGCTGTTGGGATCCACATTAAGAAACCTAACTTATGATTTATCCAAAAACAAAGTTGGTTGGTTCAGACACTGTCCTCACTTTGGCCATCAATCAAGGTTCTAATGATCCTCAATTTGTGGAAATTTCCTTAATTTTAGTTAATATTTTATTTGCTATTGTATTTTTATTATTATTATTATAATTTAAGCATCCTTAATGAACTGTAATTCCATTGATCTTACTTTACAAATCGATATTATTTAAAAAACACTAATATTTTTATTGACTACTAATCTAGAATATTCTATATATATAAATATATATATATATATATATTATTGTAGAGCCGGTAGAGTAAATTATCGATTGATTGGACTCTAGTCAGTAACTAGTGTGATGTGTCTAGTCCTTTGTTTGGTGCAGAGTGAATTCTATCAGTCAGATTTGCAATGTGGCCACCATGCCACTAGGCGGTAGCTCGCCATCCATCACGGTGCACACTGATTTGATGATAATTAGATGGTTGGAGGCAATCAGCCACAGGAAGCCCTGGTTGACCTAGGTTTCGTGCTATCTGGCTATCGACCAAAGGGCGGGTGTACTACTCACCAGTCCGCTCCGTCCTCCTTAATGGCTGTGAGACCTGACCATTGATAATGGAAGACATGAAAAGATTAGCTGTCTTTGATCACAGGTGCCTGTGTTCTATCTCCTGTGTGAAGTGGTATAATAAGGTGAGCAATATTGAGGCTAGGCATCGGTCGAGTGCTAGGTAAGGAGGGGAAATCAGTCGCCGACACTATGAAGTTACATTGACTGAGATGGTTAGGACATGTGTTATGTATGCCTAGTCATCGCCCTCCTCGACTGACGGGCAATGTTAGCTGACATAGGATCAGGCTGAAAAAGAGCTAGCAGCGGTCAAACGAAAGCATGGCACCAGTCAATGAAATCCACAACAGTTAGTTTAAGCCACGTAGGAAGGCGTAGACTTCCTGGTTGGGGTCCTCGGGACGGTAAACACCAATGAGGGCTGAAGACAATCGGTGACATGGTTCAAAATCGTTCTTAATGGCTGACGCAGATGCATTCACTCCTTGTGATTTGTGATTTCAAATGAAACCATATTGTTCTTCGTTATTACTATTCCTTTGTCTCACACCTCTGTTTACTGTCTCTATTTTGCATTTGTTTTTACTTTCTTCTCTTGCTTTATGTGCTACATGGAGAGAGTGTGGCGACCATTAACTGCTGTACATCGGTGCAAAGTTCTATGTCGAAAACAGACAAACAGACAGACAGTTAGCTCAATTATTTTTTCGAAATATTCGAAAAATGCTGATCAAAAACAAAACAAAAACGGATGCAAGATCAAATCAAAAAGAGATCGCCTCCATCTACGATTATATTATATTCTGTTCTATTCATATCTATCGAAGTTATAGTGTTAAATTAAAGCAAACATTTACGGATCAAATAAAAATGAGCAGATGGGGTTATCACACGCACACACGGGCGCACAAAAAAGGGGGTGGGTGATATATGAACAAAAAGAATGATACCTACATATATCTGCGTAAATGATACTGAAAAATGGACTGATGATGATATTAACTGAAGTTTTATATAAAAAAATATGTGTAAATATTGAAGCAGTTCCAATAATAATCTGTGAGAAGTACTCATTTAGAGAGATAGTAAGGGTGGGGGGAGGCAAAAGGCATTCTATAAAAGTTATCCAAAAAAGCAAACAACAGAACTTTTTTTCACAAGGGAATCAAATCGAATGGAAAAAAAATCAGATATTAGTTAGTTAGTCAGTTAGGGATACAAAGGCGCTCATTAGTTTATCTTATCACTAATCTCTCCGGATTAAACTCTTCAATACCAGGTTGTTGAAGTAGACGACGACCGGCCTCTTCTTCCTCCAGTTTCATTTGTTCACTAACCTTTGAACTATTATTCTGTGTTAAGCTTGGATTATCTTTTAAAATAATACTGGCTAATAGGCGTCCAGTAATTGGTCCGGTTAGAATACCCCAACAGGAATTACCTGTCGCAATGTATACACCTGATACACCGGGTACTTTACCGATAACAGGTACACCATCAGATGAAATAGGCAGGTAACAAGCTGATTCAGTTATTACCTCGGCATCTTTTAACGAAGGGATAACACTGGTGACTATTTCTTGCAATCGATGACAACGCCAAGGTTCTACTTCGACTTTGTCTTTTGAAGATGGTACAGGCTAGAAGAAGAAAAAAGGAAACAATAATAGTAATAATAATAGAATAGGAGAGGATTCGTGATCAAACTTGAAAATTATTCGAATGCTCACTAGCGACTAAAATAAGGGATAAAGTTGCCCAGTGTGGTTGGTTCCAATCAGAAATTATGACCAGCGTAAGGATGAATACACACCGACAACATTGTTTGGTAGTGGCGTTAAAAGTGGAGAACTGAGAGAAGTTAGAATTCCTAGGTCATTTTATTAGATTCCATCCCGGTGGCTGAATGGTCATCAACGGATTTGTCTCGTCACTTGAAGGTTCTAAGGTTCGATCCATAGCACTGCCGAAGAGTCCCGAACTGGGACGAAACAGCTTTCCAGTACAGTACCCCTGGTTTTTAATGATTCTCTAACTGTTATCAATCTATAATCAAAGCTTGAAATGAATCATATCTTTACGAAGTAATACCCTAAATTAGAATAAACAGCTAAATAAACATTGGTTAATCTTAACAAACATCAGTGCACACACTTTATTATTATTGTCCCCTTGGCTCCGAGTGGAACATGGGGCTTTAACAGCATATCTCTACTTCCTCCTATTTTCTGTGGTCCTTTTTATCTGATCCCACGATTTGCCCATAGTCTCTCATCTCCTCCTGCTTCCCCCACGATCTCCACAATATTACCCTTGGAAGCGGTGTCATTCGACGGTCTCCTCAGCGTGTGTCCGATCCATCTCCATTTTTATTCGGAATATTTGTTAAGTAATAGGTTGTTGGTTAGTTAGTTCGTTCCCAGAGTTTCTTGTCGCCAATTCTTTCCACCACCGGCCATTTGACCTTCAATACGGAACAAAGGCAGCTGTCTGTTGGAAACGCTTCTCGTGATGTGCCATTTCTGACCCGTGCAGAACTGACTTAACACTGATGGCACACACTAGTGCAACTAGAAATGCTTTCAACTCCGGTAGGTGGGTACTGCTGAAGAGTCCCAAACTAGGACGGAGGAAACAACTGGCTGTCCAGTACTCCCAGATTTTCCAATGGTTCTCTAACCGATGTTAGCTTTTCATGAAATTCCGTAACTAAACAATCAAATCCCTACAAACTACACACTTGAATACCAATGAGATGCTCACTAGCGATTGGCCCTATTCAGGTAGGTAGTTATCTGGGGTTCTAGTGCGAAGTCGTGACCAGTATGGAACAGTAGATCAGGTGTGAAGACAAATACCCGCCGCCAATGACATTCGCTAGTGGTCGTGCTATGTTGTGAATTGGCAGAAGGCGGAATTCATGAGCCATTGGATTGGCGGGTTCCAGTGGCTTAATGGTCTACGACCTCTCTCGTCTTGTAACCAGAAGATCCTGGATTCGAACCCCGGTGGGCGCGTACTGATGAAGAGTCCCAAACTAGGACGAAACAGCTGTCCAGTACTTCCAGGTCATGTTGAAATCTTGTAACCAATATTAAATTAGTTTTTAGGCGTTAGTTTGTCTGGCTTTGATTTGTTTAAAATTTCATCAGGGATTGATATCAGTTAGAGAAACATTGATGACAAAGTTCAACAACCGCGTCCCAAGGGATGCGAACGCACGAGTATCCTTGAGCTGACCAATCATAAAAATGAGGAACTTTTATACAAAAAATAACGTATATTTACAAGAAAATGCATGAAAACACATTAACACAGGGTATCTTTCTCTGACATTACTTAAAAATACGTCCCAGTTATAATGAGTAGTATCAGTTGCTAAGTTAGACTAGTTTCTGTACATGTATTTACCGAGGTGACCACAGATGAGCTGTTTTTGTGAGTTGTTTATCCCCCTTACCCTGTTGTTCAGTCTTCCCCAAAAACCTTCGGTTGAATTACTATGATTTCTAGTAAGAGGATCAACAATGTGGAAACAGATTAAAATAAATGACACCAACTCTAAATTTATCCCTAATTGTAACCCTAACCTTAATCGTGACTCTAATTAGAACCCTTATCGTGACTGTAACTGTAATGCTAAATATTGCGCTGAATATGTTGTCAAGAAGGGCGACGAAAACTCCGCAACTAAACCAACCAGCTCAGAGAACACTATTAATTGCAAACCTAACCCTAATCCTAAACCTAACCAGCTATGAACACATTGTTCAAACAGTACTTGAAAACATGATCTTGATGAAATTTGCTCCTTAGCTGGTGAATAGCATTGATATTTTAGTTACGATTATGACAGGTGCCGTTAACCAACGACTAGCATACGTTCAAGGTCATTAGAGCGTTCGCACTCCTGGGACGCTATTGTTGAACATGGATAACCAACAAGGAGTACTAGACAGCTGTTTCGCCATAGTTTGAGACTCTCCATCAGTACACACCCATCGGTGTTCCATCTTAGAATCTTTCAGCTACAAGTCAAGCTCGTTGACGACCATTCAGTTTCTGGAACTTGATTCAATGGCTAGCTTATGAATTCTGACTTTTATTAATTCGGGAGTTCAGCGCGACTGTCACCAGTCAATGTTGTCAGTGATTATTTGACCTCACTCACGACCAGTAGTCACAACTTATTAATAAAAGAACTCCAGGCAACGTTCTTTTATAACTACTTTAATTTCGGGTAATGGTCAGCAGCTGACGAGAACCCGTGTTGTCATTTTATGCTACAGATTTTGTCTTTGCCGCTTCACTTAAAAGAAAAATTAGACAGAAAATACATTATTTACATAACTGGTGGATGGTTACTAGCAGTGTAATCCAACACAACGCAGATTTCGTCCTATTTGGGACTCGTCATCTGGATTCCCCAGTCGGTGATGATGTTCTCACCGAAGCTCAAACCCATTGCCCATAGTTTCAAACGCCAAAGCTTTATCCACTAGACCACTTGGGCCACCTCTTGTGCAACGGGTTATATTAATTAATCCAGTTGACGAGTCTCAAATAGAACGAAATGCGCATTCTGGCTGGATTCCACTGCTAGTCACCATTCACCCACTAATTAAATTCTAATTACGTGACCAGACATCGTCGAAGCATCTGCACAAGAGGCCGACATGTCAACCTGAGACCGAGCACTTCGGTGCAATCAATCAATCGACGGGAAAATCTAAAATTCAATTGAATATATGTATATGTATTCAGTCTGTAGTGCTTGATAAGCTGACACAACAATTAAGAATCAAAACACACAGGCAAGCACACACACATTCACACACAAACAGTCACTTGTGACGAACATGCAAGTCCTTCTAGTAGTGATTCGGTAATATTATTAAAAATTGAAACAATGTAGTTTCAAGATCAAAAAAGAACTTTTTATGCTAACTAAAAGAATTTTGTGAAGCAGGTGGGTGGTGAACAGTAAAAAAAAGAGAAGAAAAAGAATTCAACATCGTCGGCGGATGATGATGATGATATATTTTTAAATCTTCTGTAAGTTAAGATGGCTGATAAAAAAAAACACTGAATAGAAGAGTTATTTCTCAAAAAAAAAATAAAACAATATCTGTCTTCATTAATTATTGATGAATTGAAAAACTATTAGAACTATTTTTGAGAGAGGAATTATGCTCGAAATGTCAGCCAGCTAGTTAGTTAGTTAATATAAAACCCTTATCAGACTGTGTGTTGCACCAAATAAGCGTATCTAATAACGGAAAAAATACAATTAACAGTTTGTATCGATGTCCATAAAATCTCTTCGGGTACCTGAAACAGAGAGAGGGTTAGTGTTGCGTGACCTCAGAGCCCAGGGGACAACTGCTTGAGGCCAGCTGGTAACACACGACCTGTATGAACTGGTTTCTGGGATTGGTTCCGCATTAATAAACTTACGGCCAGTTACGGACCACCGTAGGGTAAGTCGGGATGTACAATTTTTGGGGTCGACCTTTTCTAACCCCCTCTCTCCGGAGTGGAGAGACAGCATAGCTGGCATGCTGGTCATCTGAGGGAAACACCTTAGTGCTGTTACATCGCTGTTCCCCAGCAGTACGACTTCGCCCTCAGACCGCCAGCATAGTGTAAGAAAGATTCTTACACAATGCTGGTAACTGCTTTTAGTCTAATCGCTATCCTAACAACCTCCCTGGCATGGTAGGACCTGAAGGAACATTGGTTCCAGCCAGTGCAGCCTGTTGGGTCATCGCGATGTGCAAGCCCGACCACCACGTCAAGGTAGCAGCTATCGGTTCTATGTCGAAAACAGACAGACAGACAGACAGACCATAATATCTCTAAGAAAATCGCTTAGTGATTCTGGAGTATGTTGTTTGGACTCATTTATCTGGAAAGGATAATTGTTTATAAAATCTCCAATTACAGTGTATTGACACTTATTTGGATGCTTCAACTAAACTTGGTAATTATTCACCTCTTTTCTCCTAGGCTGTAGCATATCATCGAGCTAAAATTTGGATATCCATATTGTCGACTTAATCCCTATTAGTATTTGTCTTTGTCACTATTTAACCTTCTATGCTATATCTTCGCATTTCTTTGGCTACCTATCTGGGCAGCCTTCCCAGCCGGCTTCGTACATTGTACTGAAATTCAACGTCCCCATTCTTATTCTGGCTTTCATAGAGATAGAGAAAACACAACGGCTGGCTGGCTGACTGGCTTTCCGAAGACTTTGACCAACCGGCGGCATCATATCACTTCTCCGATTCGAGCGAAGAATAAGATTGTTATTTGGACGTTTTTGTATTTTAAATATATTTTCTGTGAGTTAAAGTTTCTCTAGCAGTTTGATAGCTTTAGTGGTGTGGGTTTGTTAGCCCCACGCCCAACCCTAGTAGCAGAAAGTACAAAAATTCTATAATACTCTATTTAGCCAGTATTTTATATGATGGAGACACTGTTAGACGTGAAACATATAAGTTACTATGTAATTAGCAAAGTGAATCGACCCTTTCATCGTTCATCTTTCTGTAATTTTATGGTGTCACCCTTTCTATCGTTTAATTATAACTTAACTATTTTATTTTAGTTGTTATTACTATTATTGCTACAATTT